AGTTTCACTAAGCTGTGACTGAAAACCTATAACTGTGACACAACAGGATGTTTTGTTTTTTAAAAAGTCACTAATAGGACTGATGTCTTGAAGAAAATCTAAGTGAGCCCTCTCACTGAAATATATTGAACTAAACTGTGATATCACTTTGTTCGATTCAAAATTAGGTGCTTACAGAAACCCCAAGAATAAAGATTTTGTATTTTTTGCAACTGTACAAAAAAATACAGTGTAATATTTAATTCTGTAAATAAGGTGGTTGCCTGAGCACTTTAACTGTGACTTTTTGATATGAATGCTGGCATTCATTTTGACTCATTTTGTAATGAAATTGTTTTATTTTAAATAAATATATCTATACTCCATCATGGATTGCAGTCGCTCATTTACCAGCAAAAATGAGACATCAGAGCTGAAAAACAGCTTGTCAAAAAGACCTTATGTGCTGCTCCTTTTACCGTTTGTTGGGAAGGTGAAGTGTGTCAGAGTGAGTCACACTGTTTACACACCTGGAGGATTAAGAAATGATCAGACTTGTTTTTGGGAAAGGTTAAACTCTTTGAATGCATTGATGTGCACCATTGGTTAACCGTACAGGTGCAGAAACAAGCAAATCCTTATATTTTACAGGCTTTGAGTCTGCACCCATTTCCTTTAGCTTAAGAAATTGTTTTTGACTCCTTAGCCAAAGATCATTAACAAGTGATGTAGATCATAAGCTCTAACCTGTTTCAGCACCATTTCAGAGAAGCAAATAATTACTCATACACCAAGTTTTATTCCCTAATAAAGTGTGAAAACTTATTTATATCAAAAGCATTGCGAAGCAGTTTGTAAAAGGTACATGCCAAAATGTAATAAAGTATGTCTGTTTCTATGGATTTAGTGTTAATTATGGCTCTCTATAGCAGCACAGGAATGTGCTTCTTTTGTACTTTGAGCACATCCATAAACAGCCGCAAATGGGAAGATCCACAATAAAATGAGTTAAAAAGGCTGGGCTGTAGTGTGACTTCTAATTGGAAAAAGCATGAACAAAAGTCCGGGAGTGGAAAAATTTAAGATTACCAAAGGTGTCATGTCCCGTGACAAATAAATTACTTACACAATCAGTTATGCCAATTGTCCTGCAAGTTGAAGTTCAATAACAAATTGTCAAATCTGACTCAAATGCTGCATCATAAAGGAGAGCTTTGGTTTGTGGCCGTGAAAACACTGTAGACTTTACTGCACTCACCTTTTCAGTAAAATATGCAAACCTCTACACAACTGTACTGTGGTTTTCACTATATGGCCTTTAAAATATCTTTGTAGTGAAAAAAATATGTATTGAGGATACTGAAAATTTGAAATTACTAAAGACAATTTATCAAGGCAGCTTGATATTCCATTGTAAGGTAGTACAAATCATACTACCTAAAGATTAAAGAACATTCTAATTTTTCATTTTCATATAAATTATAGTGTTTAGCTTTGTGCATATTTTCAAACTGCGGCTCTGAGGTCCTTCAAGGTCTTAGAGCTCTGCTGTGACCCCTGGTAGATATATCACTGCTTCATTACATTACTCCTTCTCAACCAGTATTTACAGGCATGACAAATGACTTATGAAGCCCAAGCAAATTAAAGTATAAATACACTGAAGACAAAAAGATACACATATGTGGAAACCTTTTACATTTTTATTGCTTTTTATAGACAGAGAAGCAAGATTAATCAAAGAGTCCAAAGCCCATGTCTTCGTCTGACTCCTCGGATTCCTCTTTCTTCTCTTCCTTTTTTTCTTCCGCTGAAAAAGGGACAAAGACAATACAGTTTTAATTTCAAATCTTTTACATAAACATATTTTGTGTATTTATGTCAAGAAATTACACATTTATATACACATACCAGCAGCAGGTGCACCACCACCTCCAGCAGCTCCACCACCAGCAGCTGCTGGTGCCGCAACAGCACCACCTGCTGGTACAGAGGCTAACTTGGAGAGGCCTAGAAATCCAAGAAATAATGTTAGAAACCTTCTATCCGAAGCAGTGACACCCAACCCTGGTCCTCCTCAAGCACCCCTGCACGTTCTATATTTGCTCTGTTGGAGCACACTTGATTCAAATGAGTCTATAACATAACCATGATTCACCAAATACTGCAGAAGCCTGTTAATCACATATTCGTTAAAGTCAGGTGTAGCAGCAATGAGACACAGGAGTATTTGGACAGCAGGGTTGGGAACCACTCATCTAGAGCACAAACTGCAGAGCTGTGTAGATCAGAGTCCCTACCTGAATTCATGACTTCGTTGATGTCTTTCCCATTCAGCTCACTAATGACCTAACAGAGAAAACCGGATAATTAATTACCTGGCCCCTTTACAAAAAACTTTACTTACACTACATTACATACTTTATTCAAGCGTTCATCATCGGCCTCAATTCCCACGCTGCTCAGGATCTCCTTGATGTCTTTTGAGGAGGGGCTGGTGTTTCCACCCAGAACAGCGAGCAGGTAAGCGGCCACGTAACGCATTCTGGAAAGGATGCAGCATGTAAACAATTGTTAAGTAATAAACAAGCTTACAAACACAAAAAAGTAATAATGTATAATAACTTGGAAGATGACAAAGTATATAGAACACATGACAGGCAGAAACCCAAACAGCACATTTATAATTAAAGGAATTCCCGCACATGGGAAACATGATGGATTTGTAATATAGCCTGCATTTGAAGGTAGAAGTATTTTTTTTAATGAAAAAGATAGAAGGGATTTTTCAAGACTATGGGATGTTGCAATATAACACCAAGTCCTACTTACTATAGACTATTGCTAAATCCCTGCCCTTATTATAGCCTATGGGCTCTAGGCCCATTCCATTGCTTCCTGAACCCAAGGCAGCTCCTTTGCTTTCAGTCTTTCATCACTGGATGAATCGATAAACCCAGGCGTGTCTGGTCAATACTGTTATGGTTACTGACATCAGGCACACCTGGATTAATCAGTTCATCAAGTAGAGAACAGACAAAGGAGTTGCCTTAAGTTCAGGAACTAGTGTTATTCATAGATCTCATTTGTATTTTTGTATTGTGCAATGATTGAATTTCTTCACTTGTCTATTTTATTGCTCTAAATGTATTTTGTGCCTTAGTAACTTACAGGTATGAGAACAATGTTCTCATAAGTATTTTGATTAATTGAGTTAAAATAAAGAATGCTCTTGAATATCATCTAGTAAGTCAGTATTATGCTCTTCAAACTGGGCTTGATCACAGTTTAGATCCCTGATCACAGAAGAAATGATGATAGATTTTATTGTAGTCATTTAACCACATGGCCAAAGCGTAAACAGTAAGCTGAATACAGACAATTACTTAAATTTTTTAGGCGAGTTTTTGTTTTTCTTCTAAAAGATGGTATGAAACACACCCCTGACACATACTTATCAAGACAGTCAGTACATACAGAAGTTACAATCAGCGAGTCTGCAGTTCCTGTTTTTTTTATTCCAGTAAAAAGTTATGTTTACGAGCCGCTTGCTTCACACACACACAAAAAAAGTCACATTCTTGAACGGGACTGAGGTTTTGATTAGTAAAGCACCAACAACTGAATTCTGACTTTAAAAAAATGATAAATTAAAATATTATTTGTCATTTGATCAAATTTTAAAATGTGCACAAAATTCTAAAACTTAAACATGACTTTTGGGCTAAAAAAGACGAGCTTTCATATGGTAATCAAATTTATTTCAATAACGCCAAACATCAGCTAAAGGGGTGATCCTGTTAACTTTAAACATATTCTGAAAGGATGATTGATTAAAACTCTTTCATGCCAGATTATTCATGAGCTTTAAAATTACTACGTTTTCAAGATGATAACATTTATAGCCCACACATGATACTTCTGTTTGAAAGCTTTTTTTTCTCCTATGTAAACATATTCAGAGAATCGTTATTTTTTTCTTAAATTCATGCGATCCAGTCTCGTTCATGCAGACAGCCTAGACCTGCAGCAAATAGTATATATGTCGTTTAGAGAGTAGATTTTAGTATTTCTAAAAATATGGTTGGTTCAGTTAAATGGTTGCAACCACGTTTTCAGGCCTAACAATGAGCAAGTAAGCGCATGGCCATTTTTAATCACACGTTTACCGTCAGTAATATTTGTTTTAGAAATAAAATGCACTGAAAATTAGCCAAACATAAGCCAAACACAGCCGTTTATTGGATTAGTTTAAATAAAGATTCAGCCCATTTAGTGGTTTTAACCTACTTTACACCGAGCTAATTTTAGCTAGCTGCTGTGTCTGCTAGCAGCTGCTACCAGTGCTACAAACTACTATTTATAAGTGCGTAGCAGGTCACAAAGCCACGGTTTTCACAGCTTACACACATTATATAAGTGTGCATTTTATTAAAATACGATAAGGGTATGAATGGTTGGTATAACACGTTGGGTAGGTCATTTATTTGAACTTACTTTTAAGTCTAAACAGACACGAAACGTCGGTCACGCCAAGAAATCCGGAAGAGGCTGATTGATGAGACCGGAAGTTGAAAAGGATGTGATCTGTGAATTTCATTGGTTGTTTCGTGTGTCACAAAAAAGACGTCAAATGGGCATAGAGTGGGGTCTGATAGCGCCCCCTTTGGCTCTCTAGGTTATTACAGCAAGTTTTTAGATTTTGGAGTTCAGATAAAAATCATGTTAATTTTTTTTTTCTTTAAAGCGTTCAAAACACATGATTTTATATTTTTAAATTTTGAACAAAATTCATCTGATTTCTCAACACTTAAAATGGTGTTTGAACCTTTATCATAGGTAAACCAGTTTGACCAGTTCTTTTAAAATCTACTTTATATATTTGTTAAATCCCATTTCTAAAAAAAAAAAATGTTTAAGAAAAATTTTATTGTAAATAAACGTGAGAATTGTATTAAATCTTATAAAGTGCTAACACAGAGAATCTTAAAAGAAAGAAAACAATGTTGATACTTTTTTTAAAATCATTTTTATTCTTGTTTACTGAAAAACATGTAAGAGAATTTAAAACATACCAGTGTTCCTCCTCACTGTTATATGTTTTTTTTACCCCCAAAAATGTATGTAGACAGAGTGTTATTAATAATCATACTGATTGTAAATTTATACGTTGAATTTATATTCCTTGCAGAAATGCCAGGGTTAGTCTTTAAAAGAGTGGGAATTTCTAATGAATACCTGTTTTGTTTTGTCTTGATAAAATCAAACGTGTTTATCATTTACACCAGAGACAAGCATGACTTTAAATAATAACAAATGTTGGCATCAAGTTGAAAATAGTAATATTCTTAAATGCAGTTGAGTTCTTACATACATCACAAATAAAATAGTAATGTTTTTTCTTTATTACTTAAAATTGGGCTGTAGATCTGATGGAATAGTATTACTACAAAGTAAATACTACATACAATACAGAAATGAGAGATATAATGGAATGATCACCTTTATTCACATCCTATAATTCAACCAGTTCCTCCTGTTTTTCCTGAGTGAAGAGCCAGTTAATAATAAAAATGACAGAGTCGGACATAAACTCTGCTATCTTCTTTGCATTTAACACATACCCCATTTTATAGCCAAATTCACACAGCAACATCACTAGAAAGAGAACTAAAAAGCAAAGGAAGATGCGATCCATGCAATAGTTTGCCTTTTCTCTAAAGGTCCACTGCTCCCATGGTAGCGCACGCCGTCTTTCTCCATGTTTGCTTAAGTGCAGCAAGGCTTGCTGTTCGTCATCCAGGTCTTCCTCTGGAGCCTCCAGATCCTGACTTCCCTCAGCTTCATCAGCATTTTCCATTTTGTGGTCCCAAATGTAAGCTGTTTTCTGAAGTCTGTATGCATAAATGAAGAAAAAATATCTGATTTGTATGTAAAGCTGGATAAAGGTTTCACATTTCCTTCCCCATTTGTTGCATTATAAAAAAAAACATAATGCCTTACCTTAAAGAAGATTAGTATTCTAGATTAGAATCAGAGAAGAAATTTATCAGAAACAGAGACTTTTGTCTTCCCTACTTTTCTGCTAGATCATTTTTCTGCTCCTTGTATATCTGCAAGGCCAAAGAAAACAGAAACAGCGTTTAAAGCCAGTATTAGCAATTTGGTTATATGTTATCTATGACACTGAAACAAGTCCTAAGGATTTAACCACACTCAGCAGTTTAAAATCCCTCATCCGAGAGAGGGAGGGGCGGTAGCAGATGGCATTATTAAGTATTATGAGTTCCTGATTGAGAGACAGACAGAAACAAAGGCACAGTGTTAAGACTTTATTTCATAATTCAGAGGAAATTAATTATTTTCAAAGAGCACAATGCCTATTATTACTGCAGATGTTAGTATTTACCACACACAGAATCTGAAAAACAAATTGTTTAATGTTCCAGAGGAATTTCCCATCTTTTATTTTATAAAACCCTTGTAGAAGGCAGAAGTCATACTGATGACAAAGCAGAACTATTGCAGAGACTATGGGTTTAGAGTTGGTATAAATCAGCTTAATGCTCTTTAGGTAATTGATTCAAATGGTCCACCGCATTTCACCTCTCTGCAGAAACTTTTAATATATGGCCTGAGGAAGCTGAATTAGCTTAACAGAGTCCAATGTTTTCTTATAAAGGCTTGGCACTAAATTGCTTGTCTTTGTCAGGGTTTTGTTCGATGTAAATGAGTTTATTCACTTCGACTTCTGGGGTGGCAATTTAATTTATGTCTATATTAAGTCAATTTTTTTTTCAAAATAGAGCATTCGAAAATAGAACACAAAAGCATTGGAGTTATTATATTATTTTATCTATTAAATAAAAAAAAAAATTTTTTAAATCCATCTAGGATCTTTGTCCCTATTAATTTGGTGACCAGAAAAGCTAGAGTTAGATTCTTGTAACTTTAAATGATGAAAGGTTTATTACATACTGACATTACGACAAAACAAAGAGAGTATTTTATTATTGCTGAATAAAGGGGGGCTGCAGCTAATTCCCCTAAAGTCACAAAAAACTCTACACAACTGAAAGCAACAAACTTTTTATGTGCAAATCATAATAGAAAATGTGTTCTTTGAAATACTTTGTTTAACAATTTTATAAGATACTGTTAGATCTTCACTCTTTCCTGATGATGTGATAGTCAGGATCAGCAGCTAATAAGAAGGAGCTTTTTAAAAATATAATGATTAGTTCTTGGATGCTTGGGATACTTGAGTGTTTAAGAAGACAAAACAAATCAATAGTCAAAGAAAAGACTATAAACACTAATGCATTTTCTAATGGAGTCTTTTTTATTTGAGGAGCTCCTAACAAATTTCCCCCTTGGCCTCTAATAGCAGCAACACAAGCATTTGTAATAACTGTGGAGGAAGTTTAGCTCACTGATCTTTGCAGAAGTGTTTTAATTCAGCCGCATTTCAGTTTTTTTTAATCATGAATGGTATTTTCAGGGTTACACCACAGGCAATTAACTATTAATAATTAACTAGATATCTCCAAAAACTTAAGTTTGTTTCATCTTCAGCTCATCAACAGGTGCTTGAATATTTTCCTTCAGGAGTTTTTTGGTAAACACCACAATTTATAGTTCCATTTATCAGAGCAAGTCTTCCAGGTTCTTAAGCAGCAAAATAGCCCAGACCATCAAACTACCACCACCATATTTTGTCCTAGGTATGATGTTTTTGTTTCAGTTTTTTTTTTATTCTATGTTACTTTCACACCAGATGTAATCGACCACACACTTTCCAAATAGTTTCCAACACTTGTCCTGTTACTCGACAGAATACTCTCCTTAAGATCTTGGGGATTATTAAGGATGTTTTTCTGGAAAATTGTAGAAAAGTGTTAGTGTTCTTTTTGCTGAGTATTGGTTTGAGTCTCTACCATGCAGACCATTTTTTCCCCAGTCTCTTTCTTATAATGACTGGATGAACACTGAGCATAACTGAAGGAAGTGGGGCCTGAAGCTCTTTGGATGTTGTTATGGGGTCTTTGTGACCTCTTTGATAAATCGTCACTTTGTTCTTGGGGTAATTTTGGTCAGCCAGACCACCTCTAGGCAGAAATGTTCACCCTTTAGTAAGTACAGATACTTAGTTAATAACAACAGGACTTAAAAGCTGTAACAAAGACAATCCCCATCATTTCCACCCTCATTAGATTTTAAATGTATGTGTTAGTTATGTTTAAAGTTCTTCATTAACTATATTTGTAACTTTATGCCGTGTATACCAGAACTCTAAAGGCATTCAGCTGCTAATGAAGGACTTCTGTTAACTTCAATGTAAATGAATTTAGAGCAAAGCTAGATAGAGTCAGTATTGTTGATGTTCTCTCTACCTATGCATAGAATTGATTTGTCCTTAATAGTATAAAAAAGATAATTTGCATCAATTAAGTCAAAGACTACTAAAGTATAATTTGTATTTATACTTTAGTACAATGTATGACTTGTACTCTTTTACATTTACATTAATAAAGTGGTTCAATTACTATGTTTACTTTAAACGGATATTTCTTTTGATAGAGATATAAGCATGATGCCTAGATTTGAGTGTACTTGTGTCATGATCTTGCACTGGAAAAATCTAGATAAGTAATTTTTTCTTAGAATAAGTGCATTTGACATTTTGCCAATGGAACAAAACAATTTACACTTAAAATAAGAAAACCCAATTGCATTGTCTCATTTCATGTACATATTATCTAATTATCTTATTTTAAGAGTATAATTTACCTACCTACAAATTAGGGATAAATACACTTAATTTAGGAAATTTTAACTTATTCCTAGATTGACCAGTGTGGCACTGGTGACTGGCTTAATTACTCATTTCATTCACCTGTCCAATTCTGCCAGTGTGGCTCATTACCTCTCACCTGATCCACCTGCTCCTGCCTCTTTTTAAGCTGCTTGCATCCAGCCATCAGGGCCTGATTATTCTTGTTCTTTCTAGCCAGTGGTGAGAGTGTTTTAAGAGTATCTTGATGTTTCTGATTTCCTGATCCTGACCTGTTCTGCCTCTCAACCTGAGCCTGCCTGTTCTCATCTCATCTGTTTGTCTGACCTGGCTTCGGACTCCTGGACCTCTGAGCCTGCCTGGTCCTGTTCTGATCTGTTTGCCTGACCTGACTTTGGAGTCCTGCATGTTCTCCGGGGCTTCAGCATCTGTGACACTCTGGTTGGCATCTGCTACATCTTGTGGGCAGCCTACCGGTTTGATCCTACCTCATTCTCTGGCTATGGACTGAACTTGTAAACCAGGTTAGTGACTCATGTTCAGAATCTTCCTCTGTTAGATTAATGTGGTCTCTGACCTGTTTTTCTCCAGTTTTCTGCCTTTGACGTCACAGAACTGTTTATTTTAATAAATGCTTTTTCACTAATCCAACTTTCTGTCTTCCCTGAATACTGAGTCCTTCTGTTCTGAGTCATGACAACTTAGCTTTGTCAGAAAATCCCTATTGAAGTGATGTCTTGAAATGGAGCATGTGCAACTTTAATTCAAAGTGAACCAAATGTGATCAAATATATTTAAGTTGTGTTTTTACTTGGGTCCCTTATTCACACAGGGCCATTCTGCTTTAGATTTTTTTTTCTTTTTCTTAATTATGAAAACCTTCATTTAAAAACGGTCTTTAACCTATTTTTAAATTGATATGACTTCTGAAACACTAAAATTGGACAAAAATTGAAACATCAGGAATGGGAAAAATATTTTTACACACCAGTATGGCATTAAAAAGGACAATGATTTGAGGTATTTTAGTAAATTGGCATTTATCCCAGTTTTGTATTTGAAAATAAAAGGCACTATGATAAAAGGCAATGAATAAAATGTTGCAAACATTTGTAAGCTGAGCAACTGTTTAAAGGGAAGTTCAATTGAATTTTTTATATTTACTGTTGAAAGAGTGATTGTCCATGCAACCCCCAACTGCAAAAAGGTCTGTTGCCTTCCACTGATCTTGACCCCAAATGACGTTATATTCTCTGCAGCTTCTTTTAATTTTTGTTACAGCTTTCGTATATATAGTTGTGCTTGAAAGTTTACAAAGCCTTCCATTAAAGTGTGACAAAAATCGGCTGCCAGTAAAATAAGTTGAAATTCACAAAATAAATAGTAAGTAAAAACAAAAAAAAGGAAATCAGAGCACTGATTTGGAATATATAGGTATACAAATAATGATTTAGAAAACTTTTATTTACTATTACTTTTTCAGTTTATTTATTATTGGAATTACTGCAGTGAATTTATCATTTTCTTTAATGAGAGGGTGTGTAAACGTTCAAACAAAACTATATATGTTATTAGTTTTTAAAAAAACAATTCAAATAATATGATTCTTTACAACATCCAGAAGGGTACTGACCCCAGCTATGTTACGTCAGAGGTCCAAAACTGTGATTAAAGGTTTTTCATTTTTTATTGTAAAGATTTATTATTCTGTTATTTGCACAGATACCCGGGTCAGCTTAGCAAGTAGCTTATCAGAGGAATATTTTTAATTTACTGAGTTAAATTTAATTAAATTTAATTAAATACATGTTTTGCAATAGATGTATAGATAAATACCCTGTGAATTAACCCTGTATAACCCTGCTCTTCTACTTCACCATTCTGCTTCATTTTACCTGTGCAATTTTCTTATATTTTTTTTTACTATGCTTACTTTATTAAGAATTCTTTCCACGCTACCAATTATGAGTAACTGCACCGAATGAGGAACAAATGCTTTTTTTTGGCAGAAATCCACCAGGCATAGACACAGAGTTATAGTTTATGTTAAAATAAGACATTTTTTTTTGTAACCAAGTGTTTTGCTCTAATGTTTTCACCCTCATGCTGAACCATACATGTTGTCTCTAGAAATTCTTCACCCATTTCTAACATAGATATATTAATTGGTTTCATTGTTGTTGTTTTTTTGTCAAATACATTTGATAATCAAAGTGTTTATTCTCCCTTGGTTTGTTGTTTTGTTTAAAATACATTTTATTTTTCATTGTAATTTTCGTTCTAGTGTCTGAGATACAAGAATATGCATGTCTCTTTATGTTTTTGTCTGTCCGATTACATTTCTTTTAAAAAATAAATCAGATGCTATCATCATTGCTTGAGTCATCTTTCTTACTAAATATATTTTTACTGTAACTTGAGTAATTTTTATTTGGGGGAAAAAGGTTTTGATTAAGTCCTACTCTTACCTAAGTACACTTTTTAAGAGCTGATCCATCTCTAGTTTGTATTGTCAAATAATTCTAGTAACATATCGTTCCATTTTTTTAATCTATGTTGGGGGGGGGGTATACATAAAAATATTGTAAGAAAAAAAAAATCTATCATTAAAAATTTTAATTTTGAAAACGATATACACTATATTGCCAAAAGTATTTGCTCACCCATCCAAATTATTGGAATCAGGTGTTCCAATCACTTCCATGGCCACAGGTGTATAAATTCAAGCACCTAGGCATGCAGACTGTTTTTACAAACATTTGTGAAAGAATGGGTCGCTCTCAGGAGCTCAGTGAATTCCAGCGTGGAACTGTGATAGGATGCCACCTGTGCAACAAATCCAGTCGTGAAATTTCCTCGCTCCTAAATATTCCACAGTCAACTGTCAGCTGTATTATAAGAAAATGGAAGTGTTTGGGAACGACAGCAACTCAGCCACGAAGTGGTAGGCCACGTAAACTGACGGAGCGGGGTCAGCGGATGCTGACGCGCATAGTGCGAAGAGGTCGCCAACTTTCTGCAGAGTCAATCACTACAGACCTCCAAACTTCATGTGGCCTTCAGATTAGCTCAAGAACAGTGCGCAGAGAGCTTCATGGAATGGGTTTCCATGGTCGAGCAGCTGCATCCAAGCCATACATCACCAAGTGCAATGCAAAGCGTCGGATGCGGTGGTGTAAAGCACGCCGCCACTGGACTCTAGAGCAGTGGAGACGCGTTCTCTGGAGTGACGAATCGCGCTTCTCCATCTGGCAATCTGATGGACGGGTCTGGGTTTGGCGGTTGCCAGGAGAACGGTACTTGTCTGACTGCATTGTGCCAAGTGTAAAGTTTGTTGGAGGGGGGATTATGGTGTGGGGTTGTTTTTCAGGAGCTGGGCTTGGCCCCTTAGTTCCAGTGAAAGGAACTCTGAATGCTTCAGCATACCAAGGCATTTTGGACAATTCCATGCTCCCAACTTTGTGGGAACAGTTTGGAGCTGGCCCCTTCCTCTTCCAACATGACTGTGCACCAGTGCACAAAGCAAGGTCCATAAAGACATGGATGACAGAGTCTGGTGTGGATGAACTTGACTGGCCTGCACAGAGTCCTGACCTCAACCCGATAGAACACCTTTGGGATGAATTAGAGCGGAGACTGAGAGCCAGGCCTTCTCGTCCAACATCAGTGTGCGACCTCACAAATGCGCTTCTGGAAGAATGGTCAAAAATTCCCATAAACACACTCCTAAACCTTGTGGACAGCCTTCCCAGAAGAGTTGAAGCTGTTCTAGCTGCAAAGGGTGGACCGACGTCATATTGAACCCTATGGATTAGGAACGGGATGTCACTTAAGCTCATATGTGAGTCAAGGCAGGTGAGCAAATACTTTTGGCAATATAGTGTATGTTAACAAATCCAAAAAAAACACAATATATGCTGCATTCAGATTCAAGACTTGGAAAAAATGTTTTACAATTTTATAAAATATTTCACATTATATGGAACAAGGCATTAAAAAGAAAATGACATACACATAAAAAAAAAAGATGCAAATACTTTCTCACTCAGTTCTTCACTTTTGTGGCTCATTTAATAATTTGAATTACATTTCCTGTGTTGAAGCAGCACTGTTTAGAAGAGGTTTTTTGAAATAAAGATGATTTCCATAAAGACATTTTTATATATTTCTAGTCTTGTCATTGTCCCTTAAAAAATTATTTCAATACATACATAACACTGATTTATTCATTGATTTAAATATGTTTTTCTTGTCAAACAAAGTAGATGTTAGCTGATTTTGTAAGTAAAAAAAATATATAGGGGCTTAACTTTACCCAAAACAATGTATCAACATCATTTTAAACTTGATGTGTGTGCTGCTTTCAAAATTGCCCCCTCATACTGCCACAGTAAAGCTGTGTTAGCATAGTTTGGTAGGCTAGACCCTTCCAAAGGGTTAGAAAAAAAAACCCAACAGCCGTTGCATTAATTTTTGCTTTTCCAGACGTTTCTGGTGGTTTTTGTGTAGCAAGTAACAGTCTTCAAATGCTATAGATTTACAGTCATTTTATCATTTGCTTCTATAGTGCTGCTAGGGTATGTAGTGGCCATTGTATCCTTACATAACATGCAGCGGCGAGTTATTAGGATTAGTGTTTGACGAAACCGCTTCATTCTGAATGCATAAACCATTGGGTTTAGTGCAGAGTTTACATGAGACATAAAAATTCCTATATACACAGCAAACTTTGGTATTTCATAGTAGGGACAAAAGAAATCAATGCAGTTAATAATGTGTATTGGCATCCAGCACATGATAAAAAGAAAAACCACCAGGGCCAGTGACTTGGCAAGCTTTAGCTCCTTTCTGTAGTATCGTTCTCTATCACAAGTAGCTTCTGCACGGCGGTTTAGCTGCTGCCGGATGACTCGGAAGATCTCCCCGTACAAGATGATCATCAAGCTCAGTGGCACCACCACACAGACGAAGAAGTTAAAGTACACCATGTAGTCCATCCGGATAACAGTTTTAAATTTACAAACTATCTCACTGGAGTTGCTGAGGTTCCTGCTGCTTTGGTTGTTCCAGCCAACCAATGGAACCAATCCACTAAGGAAGGACAGGATCCAGCACATGCAAACCGCCATGTACGCCCTTCCCTGGGTCACTATGTCGTTGTACCTGTGCAACACAATGAGAAAACAAATAAGAGTTCTCTCCAATCACGTAAATGTACTCACAAACAACTGTAATGGCATTTCATTGAATCTGTGCCAGTCTGCTTTTTTTCTCAGAGGCATTTTTCTTAAGTGTCAGCTTTCGACTTCAGGATTCAGCTGATAAAAAAAACATCAGTAGAGACACCTGCCAGCTACATAAAGAAACAAACTATCAGTAATTAAGACAGACAGGAAAATTTCAATTTACTTAAAAGGTTTGGTGTCCAGCAGCCTGATTTGCATAAAAACTCACTACTAAGATTACACAGACGATCAGTCTTTCATTTTGTCTTTCTGTTACTGAAAACAAATTTAGATATCTGTAAACATATAAAAATAACCCTCATCAAAGTCTAAATCAAATTGTCAGGTAGAGAGCTTCAGGGCTTCAGTCTTTTTTTTATTATTTGTAACTTTCAGTGACTAATTATCAGATTAATTTATTGAGGGATCTGAATTATTTACCACTTTAATGCAATAGCCACTCCAGTCTTTCAAAGTTTATATTTAGAAGCCTGACTGAGGTAGAGAAAACATTGACATTATGTCTTGTTCTCCATCTGTAATGTTTGGTTATTCCTTTTGAAAGCACTTATTTTTAGAGTTCTTGGAAGCCTGCATCACTGCATGAGTAATCAATGAGTCTTTTGCATTTGTTTTATTTTTCAATACAAGGGAAAATAAATGACTCTTGGAAGTTTGAAGTGCAGATCTGTGAAATCAAAACAGTTTCTTACCTTGTAGGAATTTTTATGCGCAGATATCTGTCTATGGCTATGGCCAGGAGTGACAGGATAGAGCTCTGGGTGATGATCAGCACCAGGCTTGAGAGGATAAGGCAGGTGTAGAACTGGGTACTGAATCCCAGACTAATAACAATGGCCAGAGGGATAACCAAACTTCCAACAGCTATGTCAGCCACAGCCAGAGACACAATAAAGCTGAAGGTGGTGTCCCGGAGAGCCCGATTCACATAAACTGCAAGCACAACAAGTACATTTCCTAGGACAGAGGCCACAGCAATGGCTACCTCAATGGAGATGTACACCACATCCATATGCTCCTGTTTCTCAACACCTGGTGAGGACATTTTTTTTAGCTTCAGGTATCTGTTTTATCTTGATCAGGTTGTAAAAGAAGGTAAATAAGTTGCAGAAGCTTCTTCTGTCCCCTTTGTGTTATCCCTCAGCAAAAACATCTTCCAGTAGACTGGTTGTTCAGCTAGGAAATAACTTTTCTCTTGCCGTATTAAGTGCCCGTAAAGACACCCTTAACGATCACTCTTCTGCATCAATTTCGAAATCTAGTGAGGGACTCAGTAGTACTGCATCACCACTCCTCTCTACTCTCTCACTCCCTCTTATTCACTTTGTATGAAGGAGTCATAAAATCAAGGGGAGGGACTCTGTTTTCTGCAGCACTCTGCAGCATTAGTTTTGCTTGCATTAAGTGTGTATGTGTGCGCCCTGCGTGTGAGTGTGGAGTTTTTCAGAGGAAATGAGCATATCAGATCTGGGAGTGTACAGTTAAGCTGTGAAGATGGATAAGCATTATCAGTGATTTGGTCTAATGATAAAGTTATTAACATCACAACAAAAATGGGAAACATGTTTGAACTGCAATTTCACATTTAGTTCTTACTCTGGATCTCATATTCTGATGCAAACCACTTTTTTTTGTGTGGCCATGAATCCCTTCTCAGGGATCAGTTGTAGCGTTTGTTAGTATCTCCTCTTATCTGTTAAATGCTGAGAAGTCAATGAGAATTTTTCACACAAGACTGATGGTGCATAGAGAATACAGAAACTTATCTAGAATTGGGGGTGGGGGGGGGGGGGGGGGGGCTGTTCTGTCTCTCTTTTTTTTGTTATTATCTCCATAATAGGTCTGTTCTGTTGTTCACTTAAGCTACGACTCCTGCAAATGCATGTCATGATCTGGCCTGTTTGCTCCTCCTTAATTAGTAATTCCTTTCACCTGTCGTTTTCGCTCCCCGCCTCAATTATAATTTATTCCTCTCACCAGTTTCTTCTTGGTTTTATTCAGTTCAGCCTGAGCATTCAGTGCCAGATCATTACTTGTCTATCTGTTAGTCTGTCTGTTCAGTTTTATTTTATGGTTCATGTCCTGGATCCTAGCAGCCAGTGGAAAGAGGGTTTTAGTGTTTGTCTCGTCTCCTGATCGTCCACTGTTCCTCCCCTGTGGAGTCCTCTGGGTTTTGGCTCATTATGTGGGGAGGTTCAGTTTTTATCCAGTAAGCCTGGCTCCAGGGAGGAGACCAGTCCTGCTTCAAGTTCCGGTTCTACGTCCTGTCTCGGCTACCCTCTTCCACTGAGCCTGCCTGTCTGCACCTGATCCTGTCTGCTCCAGTGTGTGACCACCTGGTCATGGTTCTGGTCCCAGTCAGACTCTGAACCCTCCTGTCCCAGAGCTCTGTTAAAGCCTGGAAGCCTGGATCCTGCTACCTGTTCTGTTCCTGCCTGATCTGCAACCTGTTCTGTCTGTTCCTGCCTGATCTGCATCCCTGATCAGGATCAGCTTCCCCCAACTCCTCCGGAGCTGTGCACTGGGGACACTCTGGGTGACGCGAGCTGCGTCAGCTGTCAGCCCATCGGCTGGATTGCACCCCTCAAGGGGTATGGACTGAACTGCTAAACCAGGTAAGTGACTCACTGAGAACATCATCTTCAGTAAGATGATCATGGTCACTTACCTGTGTTTCCTCCCTAGAGTGTCTGAGATTGGGCGGTGCCCCGCCCCCCCGCCTGCAGTGTCCGCGAGCCACAGCTCCACTTTTGTTTTGTCTGTTTATTTAATAAACGTTTTGAACTTTCCTACTGACTGTCTCTCCTTGAATACTGGGTCCATCTGTCCTCACCTCGGTTCATGACAATGCATTCAGAATTTGCTGCCACATTAACAAATCATTTGGCACTCCTAATACAGATACAAGCAAAAGCAATGTCATTTTTAGGCTCTTAGATAGTGACAGAAATATTTCTTTGTGTATGTAATTGGTAAGACATTCCTCAATTTTCGAGTTTCGAATTTGGAAATTAAGCTGCCAGCAGATGGGACACAGAGATGTTTGACTAAGTAAACACTATCAGGATGACTAAGACAAGACTTAGACAAACTTTATTGTCATTTTGTATGCACAGAGTGTATACAAAACAAACTTTAGTTTTGTACAGCTCTCATGAGCTTCCCATTTTATTAAAGTACAGCAGTGATCAGACATAAACACTGGAAGAAAAATTATAGTGTAGAAAAACGCAAATTCTTGCAATTTTTTGACTGGTCTTAAGATTTTGATCAGGAGTGTATATGTAAAGTAAAACTTGAGTTCGTCCCTCTTTATCATTGGGTTCAACAGAATTTACTGGTTTTCTTGTATCTTTGTTTCCCTTTTTTCAAACGCTTCATATTTTTGATAATCAAATTCTATAATTTCCAAAAAAACATCTGAGACAGATGTGTGTTTTCCATGAAAGCAATAATGCAGATAAATGTTTGCTTGTTTTAAGTAATAGATCAAAATGTGGCAATAATAAAAAAAATAAAGAAATGCTATTTTATGTTTTGCAGGGACATTATGAGCCATTATATTGCATTTTGTCTAAGATGGCAGCATCCAGCTGTGCTCTGATCACTGATGCTGTTTTTAGTTTACATTGCAAAATGCACCCACAGGTGACATTCAAAGGAAGTTATGTTTTGTATCATTATCATTATTACTATCTTGTTTTTAATACAAAAAACTAACCGGTTTCAATACCTTAGGCTGGACAAAATGAGACCAATACCAAGGCAAAAAGATTTAAAGACAGTGCGTAAGCCCTATACAGGGAAAAACCGGAGACCAAGACCAAGATGGTTCTCAGGACCCCATCCCTGCTGTAAATACATCCATGTGATTACGTAGATCTATAGTAAACAAAGGAACTGGGTAACTGAGTAATTCTTCATCTACATGTAGATAAATTACGACATCAGTAGATTCAAATACTGAAACAATTATAAAAAACACAAAATACACTATACTGCAGAATGGATCAAACATTGTGATTTATCAGCATCTTATAATTGTGGTATTTGTTGTTTTTTATCTCTTATTTGTTTACTTTGCAGCTTGCTTAGTTGTAAACAAACATTCATGGATAAAAATTAGTAGAACCCCCTTCACTCAAATAAAATAGTTGTGTAACCAAGTATTAATTCCTGTGTGTTTCATGTGACTGTTTTTTACAGTTCAGTGCCCTAAGCTACTGATGTCAGAAAATAAATGATTTGGGTTATTATTTAAAGAAACAATGAAAAATAGCTAAGTAGCACCCCCTAAAGCCGAACTTTATAGAGCAGCTTAGATCTGGCTAGTTGTACCAGATATTAGATTAGATTAGATTCAACTTTATTGTCATTACACAGGTACAGGCACAAGGCAACAAAATGCAGTTTAGGTCTAACCAGAAGTGCAATAGCAGCAAGTGCAGGATAAATAATGGTTCCATAAATACAGGACATGGGTTTCTACTGAATGAGTATAGAGATGAATACCATTATAAGCAGAATCTTACTAATAGATTAATATGATATATAGATAACTAGTGTTATGAACTAAATTTACAACTGGATATGTACCAAATATAATATACAGGTGGATATTACTATAAAAAGGGTTTTTACAGTTATAACAATAGCATATATACAGATGGGTTTTACTATAAATGAATAAATAAAGTGAAAAATGAAAAAAATAAACGAAAAAATAAATTAGAATCATTAACACAGAGTTACAGAGTTACAGTGTATTGGTGAATGAAGGAGAACAAAACAAACAGTAGTGTCCTTAAGTCAAAAGGCTGGTCTAGTCTATCCAGTACAACAAGTTTAAAACATATTCAAATATATTATAGATCAGTGGCTTCATCCTTCAATGTCTACCAAGTCCTCTGAAGGTGGCAGTGGGCCAAATATGGATTTCCTTCTTGGTGCCAGTTGATGGGAGACAGCGCTCACTGCTGTTTAGTTCTGTATACTACCCACAAGTCAAGCTGAATTTCAAACTCACAGCAGCAGTTTCAAGTAGTTATATTCATTGATTTGTAGTTGTGTTAAAGAAAAAATAATAATAATAAAAGAATTGGGAAGATTGTAATACATCAACATTTGTCTCAGATTAACTGGACCAAAATTGAAAGTGCAAGAGATATTTTATGTTTTAGCACAATTTGTTTACTTCAGTGGTGGCTCCTCTTTGAAACAGGGGAGGCTCAATGGTGGCCATTAAATCCAACCATCATGTATTGCATTAAAGGTATTGTGGAGGATTTTTTAAAGGGCCTGACCTCTTCACTCTAAAAAAAGATGCGCATGCAAGAACACGCACAAGCCCATTTCTCCTCATGCACGTCCTGTTTAAAATGTGCTGTTTTCATAGCTCATACAAGCTTACTGTGTCCACATACAGCGGTGACTATATAGTGGACTTTATAGCAAACTCAGTTAGCTTACCGTTCAGATGGATGATCACTGCTTTTTGATCCCCGTTGGTCAAGTAACTTTGACCAATGGGGATCTTTGCGCAAAGCAATCTGGGATATATTTGCCACTTCTGAGGGCTTTCTTTTCTTCTCATAAACTTCGTAGACAGATTTTCTCTTATGACCCTGGGTCATTTTCAAAGAACCACTGTGAGAAAAAGCTTCAATAACTGTCTGAAACTGTGGTTCACTACACATATGTGGCTGAAAGTGCTCATGCACAGAAAAAGATAGCTAACGAGACAAGCACGTAGAAAGGCCTTACCTAAACATGACACCAGACTGCTTGACAATTAGGAGGACCACTTATTTAGATGATGCACCTGCAAATAAAAGATTGTCCTCTATACCTTTAGCAACTGTTGAAATACTTAAAACACATAAATACAAAGGGTCAATATAGCTGTTGTATAGCTCTGAAATAATAAACTTCAGAAACCCCAGCAAGAGTTTAGCACAAGATTACTGTTCTGACTGAATGATCACTCATGTGGAAAACCTCCTCGCTATGTGGTCACTGATTTTTAAAAATCCTTAAGTATGTTTGCCAATCAGCATTGAGCAGCCAGCTTCAGGTGGTACTTATTTGGCTGTGTTATCCAATCAGGGCTCTACTTTTTTGTGACAGGCAGCATCCTGCTGCTCCAAATTGGAGGTAAGATTGCAGGCTCAACAGCTGATTAATGCACAAGATACTAATAAAATCAGGCTAATATTTAATTGTGTAAAGACTACATTTATGAAGTTTGACTATGCATTTTTTACCAATAATTTTATGAAATTTACAGGGGAGTTTT